GGGGTGGGGGGGCCGCGCTCGGCTCCCCCCTGGTGGCCGGGGGAGGGCCACCGAGCCCCGCCGCCACCGCCGCCTCACCGGCTCCCCTGGACGGACAGAGCGGGGGCGCCGCCGTCGGGGTTGCCCCGTCTCTCGGGGGGGCCTCCGCCGGCAAGACGGAGGGCGGCCGGTCGGCGGAGGCCGGTCGAGGGGTGTCCCCCGGCGGCGGAGGGGTGTCCCCCGCCCCCCCGTCGTTGCTGCTGGCGGGTCCCCCCGGCAGAGCCTGCCTGAGGGCCGTGCTGGCCGATTCCCGCTTCTTCTTGGTGTGCATGTGCTTCCTGACCTTCATCCAGTCCCTCATGGTCTCCGGCTACCTGAGCAGCGTCATCACCACCATCGAGAGGAGATACAGCCTCAAGAGCTCGGAGTCGGGGCTGCTGGTCAGTTGCTTCGACATCGGGAGCCTGGTGGTGGTGGTCTTCATCAGTTACTTCGGGGGGCGCGGACGGAGGCCCCTCTGGTTGGCCGTAGGGGGTTTTTTCATCGCCTTGGGGGCTGCCCTCTTCTCCTTACCTCATTTCATCTCGCCGCCCTACCAGATCCAGGAGTTGAACTCCTCCGTCAGCAACGAGGGCTTGTGCGTGGCCGGCAACGGCACCGCCAAAGAGCAGTGGGACTCCCCGTCTTGCCTCAAGGACTCTGGTGGAAACGACCACTCTCTCTATGTAGCTTTATTCATTTGTGCCCAGATCCTCATCGGCATGGGCTCCACACCCATCTATACCTTGGGACCAACCTACCTAGATGACAATGTCAAGAAAGAGAACGCCTCGCTCTACCTAGGTAAGGCTTCTACGTAGCAGGGGTGCGTTGGCCAGTGGCTTCTTCAAAAAGTGGTGTTGAAGTTTGCTGTGCCCCTTCAAGTTTCTTTTTTGGCTAATACAGAAGCGATATATCTCTTAATTTTGGTCAGCATCCCTTTAGCCTGGAGCCTCTATCTATAATGTTAATGTTTTATAAGCACTCTGTGAGATTTTGCCATACTTTGTTTTACTTTTCCAGCGTTCGTTTAATCTTTTAACTAGCAATGAGTTTTGGCTGGCACTGATTAATCACCTGGCAAGGCAGAAAGAGTTAAAGAAAAGGTTGATAGAACAGCAAGTAGAAACTTTAGGGTTAAAAACTTCTTTACGGGAGTTCAAGGGATGCAATGAAATGAGAGTCCGACCTGGCACCTGGCTTTCGGCAGGTACAGACAGGTCCTCCTGATGGTCTTCCTCATGATGGGAGAAGGGGAATTCTCGGATAACTGAGGACTGAACTTTTTGGGAGTTTTTGGGAGTTGGTATGATGATGAGCACCATTTGTTTTTGATAGTTTGTGTAATGTGTGAGACAACTCTCCTGTGAGTTTGCGTTGGTATCTTTCGTGGGTCTGTGTTGGTATCTTTCGTGGGTCTGTAAGAAACCAACCTCACGTGCTCCTTCACATTCTTTTCCAACAAGGAGAGACACTTTGGGGCCGAGAGAGCTGCCAAGGGGTTTGGGATGCTCAGCGTTACCATTTGCAGTTCGATTTACTTTGGCTTTAACGATAACTGTGGAGATAATCATTGCATGTGAAACAGACACGCACTCAGGGTGTGTGTGTAATTGCTTTATTCAGCAGAAGTAGTGATCCGGATCGGTATTTTTATTACTTTTGACCCGTTCTTCAGCAATTTGACTGTTCCCTGAGCCGTTTTAAAGCCCTGCACAGTGTCTTGAGAAAGCCTGAGGCACTGTTGGTTTTGGGAAGGAGGGAGAGGTACAACCTGTGGGGTTTTTCTGTTGTTTTCACAGCATTGCTAATCTGCCTGATGAAATCTTTGACAAAGTGTTTCCCCGCACTTTCTCCCCACTGAGAAAGGTCTAAGTGGCAGGGAAATGTAAATTAAACCTGGGAACGACTTTATTGGCAGCAGGAAAAAAAAGCAAAGCATCTTGTTGCTGAGATTTCTAACTGTGGTTTGGAGCAGCAGAGAAGGGACTGAAACTTTTGCCAACAGATGATTTCATACAAAAAGATGGGAAAAAAAGGTGAAATGGAGGGTAAAAGAGGATGAAGGGTAAAAGAGAATGAACGGTGGGAGAGGAGGAAGTCCCCACCACAGGGGGAAGCAAGGTCAGTGGTGGGAAGCCCTCACTGTGGGTAGAAACGATGCCTGTCCCTGAAGCCCTCCTAGCCCAGGAAATTGTAATTAAGTGACTCAGGTAACTTTTAATTGTGGAGGAGATCATCCTGCAAGTTAACAAAGGTAAAAGACACCAGCAGCTGTTGGCAGACCGTCCGTGACCCTGTCACCAGGCACTGGAGACGGCTTTGGTCCTCTGCGACTCAGAAGAGTGAAGAGGAGGTTCCCAGCTACAGCCCTCATGAAAAATGGATACCTGTGATCTGATTGTGTCCACGGGGAGAAGGATTAAAATAAACACAAAGCATGTTTAAGCATTGGGTAAAATGTGCTCTCACCTCCACTCAGTCTCTAAGCTACTCAGGAGCAATGCTGCTTGCTATTGGGAATCTTGATATTATCTTTATTTAAATAGTGTGAAGTTCTGAGGAAACTTTTAACTTGTTTGGGTTTGATTATTGACCTCGCTTTAGACTTAGGCCAATGACTTTTTGAGGAGCAGGAGTAAAATCTGAGTTCTGTGGGGAAAAAAAAGAGCGTTGTTTGGCATGCTGGTTGAGGAGCAGGAGTAAAATCTGAGTTCTGTAGGGAAAAAAAAGAGCGTCGTTTGGCATGCTGCTGTGAACAAATCTTTTTTTTTTTTGGAGCTTCTCAGTGCTTTGGAATGTTTCATGTCCTTGAGGAGAGGGGTTTGTGGGCGGTTCAGCTGGGCACAGGGATGGGACAGGGGTGGCCATTGCGTTATGCGATGCCTGTTTCTCAAGGCAGTGGGATTTTATTACTGGGGCAAGCTATGCAAATGATATCAAAATGTGAAAGGTATGTATAGGGGTAGGTGTGAGCTAACACAAAGTCTTGGGAGTGAGCTGAAGTTTTGAAAAGAGAAGGAAGCCCCATGAACAGAATGTGAAAGGTATGTATAGGGGTAGGTGTGAGCTAACACAAAGTCTTGGGAGTGAGCTGAAGTTTTGAAAAGAGAAGGAAGCCCGGTGAAACAAACCCCAGTCACATAGATATATGTATCTGTGTGAGGCTAGTTAATTAAAAAAAAGTATCCTGTAACACAAAGTGGAAGGTCACCAACGTGTTTGACTGTAATTATATGGGGATTGCATTCTGTTTTCTTTGTTCCAAAGAAAAGTAACGTGTGTAAAGATGTGTTCAGACAAGAAACATTTTGCTACAAACATGCATATGATAAAAGTTCCGCTGAGCTTCAGAACCAAAGAGCTCTTCAGCCCTGTGAGTGTGCTGAGCTTCAGAACCAAAGAGCTCTTCAGCTCTTCAGCCCACTGATCATAAAATCATAGAATCACAGGATGGTTAGAGTTGGAAGGGACCTTAAAGATCATCGAGTTCCAACCCCCTGCCCTGGGCAGGGACACCTCCCACCAGACCAGGTTGCTCCAAGCCCCATCCAGCCTGGCCTTGAACCCCTCCAGGGATGGGGCAGCCACAGCTTCTCTGGGCAACCTGGGCCAGGCTCTCACCACCCTCACAGCAAAGACTTTCTTCCTGAGATCTCAATCTCCCCTCTTTCACTTTAAAACCCCTCATCCTATGGCTCTCTTCCCTGATCCAGAGTCCCTCCCCATCTCTCCTGGAGCCCCTTTAGGGACTCGAAGGTTGCTAGAATCATAGGTCAGTAAAGCCCCCCCTGAGTATTGCTAATCCTGATTCTGCAAAAACTCACCTTATGTGGCTGTGGAAGCTATTTTATTTATTTTCCAAGTTAATCCAGCTCAGGGCTCGAGTGGCAATAGCATATCCTCTTAAGTGTAGGCATGCAAGCTCAATGTGGACAGCTGTTTTAACATTCCTGGCTGGAAGTCCTGCTCTCAAAAAACATATTTGATGCTTATACATAGTCTCTTGGCTGCCTACACTTAAGTCCATCTGTCAGGGTGGCCCAGCGCCAGTTCACAAGGTGGTATGTCATTTTTAGTAGGACAAAGGTGCCAAGCAGGGACGTGTATTTGGGCCGCCTGCATAGCTTTGGGCGAGCTCACCCTTTGGTGGGATGTTTCTTCCTTGTGGAGGCAGTGCCACCTCCGTGCCCTCCTGCCCCCCTTAAACCCGGCGGTGCTTTGATGCCCCGATGCTAACTCGGAGAAAACGCATGACATCAGGCTTGGAAAACAAGTGGTGATTTTAACAGGTGCCCAGGAAAGATGAGAACCGGCTCCCTTAATCACAGATAATCCCAAATGGAAGTTGCACAATTTCTGTAAAAAACAGGCAATCGCTAAGTTGGCTTTGTCTGCTCCGAAAGTCTCTCCCTCCTGTACTGTAGCATGGGTGTCATCAGCTGCCTGATGTGTGCAGCTTCTCCTTTTAATTCATTAATTAATTGAATCAACTGCAATTTAAGTGGGAATCAGACTTCCCGAGCCGTGTTTTGTACTCTTGACGGTGTTTCTGCTCCTTGTCAAATCCTAGCACTTAAAACCAGTGTGTTTTTTCTTGGTTTGGTTGTTTTTTTCTTTAGAGGGAACCAATCGTTTGCCTTGAACGTGAATTTCCCTTGGGATTGTATCACGAATTTTAAAAGCAGTTCCTTAAAATTAACTGTGGCAGTTGGAAAGGGGGGTTCTATTAGTGGCATTACAGTGCCTGAATAACTTTTAAATATTGTGCTTCTTTTGTAAGTGGGTATTATAATAGAAAAGGGAGTTTACTTTGAAAATTCATGCATGGAAAGTCAATGTTCAGCTTTACAGAAATACTACATAAATGAAAATATTTGAGCATTCAGGAATGGCTTTCAACCAATACCCCCAAAAATTATTAGTGGATGAATTATTAATTGGGTTAAGGATATTTTATTTCAGTTTCCAGAATGCTATAGGCTGGTCAGGATAAGACATGAGAAAAGGGTCTAAGCCAGTTTAAATTTATGCATACTCTCCATAGTTTTGGGAACAAACCATAATTACAAAATGCAAAGATAAAGCTTTTATGACATAAGAGCTGAAAAATGGGATAAACCTGTGTAAATGGGGTTGGTACAGATAATGGCTTGAGAGCCAGGGAAGAAAATCCTTTCCAAACCTGGAAAAAGAATAAATATTTAGACTAGTTTCAGAAATGTTTGGGACTCTGGCTTTGTTTTCATGAAGATCGTTTGTGGGTTGCTGTTTCTGGCATTAGGTAAACCATTCCACTGTGACAATCTTCTGCTGGGAAATCACCTTCTTACCAGTGTTTTACAGCTGGATGCTCTGTGTACCCCTCACATCTTTCACAAACTTCCTCAAAACCTGGATATATGTATGTATGTTGACTGTATTTATTGTATTTGTAGTTAAATGTACCCCTATGTCCATGTCCCACCTGGAAGGAGAGGGCACAAGGAGTAGTTTCACGTACTCCATCAGAAACCCACCACCATTGTCTGGATGTTGGCACGGGAAGTCGCTGGGATTGATTTGTCTTTATAGAATCATAGAATGGTTTGGGTTGGAAGGGACCTTCAAGATCATGGAGTTCCAACCCCTGCCCTGGGCAGGGACACCTCCCACCAGACCAGGTTGCTCCAAGCCCCATCCAGCCTGGCCTTGAACCCCTCCAGGGATGGGGCAGCCACAGCTTCTCTGGGCAACCTCTTCCAGGCTCTCACCACCCTCACAGCAAAGAATTTCTTCCTAAGATCTGGTCTAAATCTCCCCTC